TTTGTTTTGTTTTCTTTCTTTCCTTTTTTTTTAATAGAAAGCTTGTCTATGCATTGTTTCATTCCTTCAAATTCTGTGCCACTCACATATAGCTCTCAGACGAGTTGTTTTCTCCCTTCCAAGTTCTGCTTTCGTTCTTCAATCCCACTCTCACCTGCTGATTCTGTCAAGAGCCTCTCTCCGGCTCCCCTCCTCTATAATTCTGTATTCAACTCAAGAAATATAAATCAAATCCCCACCTGCTGGGTGGGGAGAAGCTGTCTTCTCTTTGGATCTCACTCACCCCCAGGCACAGAACCATTAATTACTTGTTTGGCTGGAGTTCAGATGTTTAAGTTCCCAACTTCCTCCCCGTGTTACTTTCTTTCCCATTTCCCACAGGTGTTCCAAACCCCACCTCCCTCTCCCCACTCAGAAGATGAACTCCCATCTTGCTTACTCAATAAAATAGAGGTGACTGGGGCCTGCACTCCTGCAATATCATTTCCCCCACCTCCAACTCATTCTGCAGCCTTGGTTTTCTCTCTCTCCTTCCCTCCTTCCCTCTCCTTCTGTTGATACATTTTATTAATACTCCGGTGAGCTTGTATTTTGCTAGGCACTGTTCTAGACTCAGGAGATGCAGAACAAAGACTCTGCCTTCGTGAAGCATCTATTCTAGTCAAGGAGTTAGACAATAAATGAATGAGGTTATAATAAATACTATGGGGTATGAGGGTGGGGGGAGCAACCAAGTAGATCAAGAGATTAAGGTTTGGTTTAGATAAGGTAGTGAGAGAAGGCCTCCAAGGAATGAAGCAAGCAAGGGAATGAGACTCTAGGCAGGGGGACAGCAAGGGCAAAGAGCTTGAGGCCAGAGTGTGCATGGCATCTTAAAGGAACAGCAGAAAGGCCAGTGTGCCTGGAGCTGAGTGAACAAGGAAAGGAGTCATAAAGGAGGTGGAAGATGTAGCCAGGGGCTGGATGATGTGGGACCACCTCATGTTCCACCAGTTATCCTCCCTCTTGAAACTTCAGATGCTCCATTTTTCATTCCCCTCGAATGAGCAGTAATCCAAAAGACAGAGATGGGGCAGCAGCTTGAGTTTTAAGCCTCCTCGCATCCATCCATGGTTTTCTCCTTGCCTTGAATAGCTCCCCACTTACCCTACTTCTATTCATCTTTTAAGTGCCTACCTAAGTGTCATTCTTGGAAGTCATGTTTGATGTTTCTTAAACAGAATTAATCAATATCTCATCTATATTCCATAGCCATATATATAATTGTATATCCATACATAGTTTATTATGGTACTTACCAAAAAAAACACATCTGACTCCCCAACTAGACTCAGTGGCAAAGCTATCTATTATTCATTTATTTGTGTATCTTCAGCCCTAACATTGTGCCTCAGGCATGGTAGATACTCAGTAAATGTAGAATTGATGGAACTGAATTAATGTTTACCATGCTCTCTTTTCTCTTTGCTAGGTAGAGCGAGGTGGGGTTTTTTTCCCCCGTTGATTTTCCTTATTCGTGCTTGACTGTATTTCTTCATCTCTAACATCTATTCAGTCATCCAGGTCTGGTCATTCTATTTCTTAAACATGTCTTCAAACTCCCCATTTCCCATCACCACAGCCACTCTGTTGAAGCTACCACCATCTCTCACTCGTACCATAACAGACAGCACTGCTTAAAGTCTCTCCTGACATCACCTCCAAGCCCTGTATGT